AAAGTAAAAAGAAGCTTAGGAAATAAGCAGCTTACTTACCATCAACAACGCAGTCAGAATGCGCAGCCCAGGCAAGGAGTCGGATTCTCACTCAATACTGATCTCTAAGGTCTCCCTGGCCTAATCATGATCCCCTTTGCTTAAGTGATCGAAGAGCCTATAGCGGGTCCTCAGTTGACCAACACCATTGATGTGAGCTATGTCAAAGAAGAACCAAAGCTCACTGGCAATCAAGTCCAAGTCAAAGAACCTGCTCAAGTTATGGAACCCCACCATTGCACAAACCACATTCGGATAGCAGTGAGCAGGAGCACACTTCTTAGAGCATATCACTTCTTGGAAGAATTAAGGTATGAGAAAGGTGAACCCCAACAAGATGTAGTAGGGATGAAACATGATAACTTTCCTAAACCCACACGGTTCACAACTGCTACCATCTTTGGCCCACTTTATGCGAACCTTAGACATAATTGTGTGCTTAAACATCTCTAAGATGTCTTTGAACTGCTCATCGAAACCTACCTTGACATGAGTAGCCCTGAAGTAGCCTAGCTTACTTGCAGATCCGCCCTGGCGATATAACGGCGGAATAAATTCATCATTCTTATGGCTTGATGAAGACATGTTTCAAAATATTACAATGGCGTAAGGAAAAATTATCAGAAGGCTGCACAAAGAAGAAACAAAAAAATTGCATAAAGCAGTGAGCTAGGCCGCAACCTAGCTGGTTGCCCCACGGACCCAGCACACCAGACACCATATCTTTGCCCAGTAGAAGGCATCTCGTCTTATCTCTCCTCACGACCTAATGGCCCTCTGGCTCAATTCAAATGGAGGGGGCTGGCACCCCCATGCCTCCCTCTCACCCTCGCAATCTCCATTATTGCACGAGCCCGAGCCTAGCAGCCCAGTCAGCCTAAACCTCCTCTCTCTCTCTTTCAGCCACACGAGCCCATGCCTAATGGCCCATCTCGAGCAGCCCAGGACTAGCGCCTAAGTTCGTGTGCACCTAGCCCCAGCTAGCCGAGCCGAGCCACACCAACCATCAGTTCCCCACCGAGCCGACTACCCAGTAGCAACCGTATGCTGCTTCTCTAACATAAATCGTGGCATTCTAGCCACTTTTTGCCACATCTACAACCCTTGTCGAGCCAAAAATTCAAGCCCCGAGGCTCTAAAAAATGAAGAAGAAGGAGAAAATTAAGTTTTTCTTACCTTAGAGAATAAGAAAAGCAATTGAACACAATTCTTTGCACGGGCAAGTGAAGAAGATTGCTAGGGGGAACAAATATCCTCTGGCTTTCTCTCTTTCTTGCGGGATTTTAATTTCACTCCAAATTTATTTAACCCCCTGTTTAACGCAGACTTAAATAGGTTTTCGTGGCAATTACATTCCTTTTCCTAGAAGAATTTAAATTTCAAATTAAAGAGGGAATCTACATCAAATTGGGACACAAACTCCATTGCAGCTTTGGATTCCTACACCTCCTGCCCTTTCCTGCGGGCTGCCTAGCAGGTATAGGGCCCTTTATGGAGCCAAAAATAATCCCAAAAATCATGGAGCTAACACGTGGATTATTTTCCAAGAAATACAATATTGCCCCTATTAAATGAGTAGGGTGCAGCCTCATTCACCACATGCAGCTAAGGTAAAGTAAACAGAGATCAACGACTGCTCAAGGCACCCCTGCCCGTAGGAAAAGTCAAAGCTATTTATGATAGAATAATCCCTTATTCTTATCATAAATACATTTCTAATCAGAGAATACCTCCTTCAAGTAAGTTGTCCTAATTCTTTTTATTTAGAATATTTACCTAATTACTCCAAGATATTTATATACACAAATATCTTGGAATATTCCACCCAAAATCCACCCTAGGGTCGGCCACCCCTAAACCCTAGAGGATCGGCCCACTTTCTTCTTTTAACCTATAAATACTCCATTTATCTCCAAAATTCAGGAGGATTTTGCTACCCACAAACTTCTAAACACATTCTTTCTAGAATTCTAACTTTGGCATCAGAGGTTCTTCAGCCAAATGCCCCCTCCCCCAATTCATCGTGGGCACGTGACAAGGTTCTAAAAAACGATAAGCCCTAGTCGGGCAGTAGGCTGGGGCATAGCGCTTAGGAGGGGACCTAGGTGGACAAAACGGATTTAAGTAAATTATTTTATATCTTTAATATTTTGGTGAATTTGATAATATGAGATGAAAGTTTAAAGGATTATAAGTTTGTAGTACTTGCTTAATATCTTCAAAGGTTATAAATATATAGTGAAGTTAAAAGAAAAGCCAAATCTGTAGTGTAAATTTGTAAAGTCTGGATCCTCGCCGGATCCTCTTTGTGAGGATCTCGGGGATCCGTGAATCGTGTTCATTCATTGTATATCGTGTGGTTAAAAATTATTTTAAATATTTTTATTTAAAAATAAACATAAACAGTGCTTGATAAAAACTGATCGCACGATGTACGATGAACGAACATGATTTATGGATCTCCTGGATCCTCACCAAAAGGATCCGGAGAGGATCTTGTTGGAAACTTGTAGTGTGTTGAAAGCATTTTATTAAGTGGAATAATGTGCACATAAAAGGGAGGTGGGGGCGCACCACAGGGATATTTAATATATGTCTATGTTAGCTGCATTTCCCAATTCCAATTAATTGGAATCAATTGAAAAAATAATTAAACAAAAAGGTTAAGGGGACTTGTGTCTTGTCTATCACATGGGTTGGAATGGGAAGAAAGAGAAACTCATTTCTCTTTCTTCTTCCTCTCGTCTTCTTCGATAGAAAGTTGTCTAAAATGCAGAACCAGCTGCTATGCAAAAAAAAAAAAAAAAATTTCTAAAACACTCAGACCACCGCTAGGCCACCTAGTCGCCCACTTAAGCCGCCCAAGCACCACCTAGGTAGCCTTGGCGCCCACCTAATCTCTTTGCTGATTTTTCTTCCGACTATAGGTTAATCACAGCTGTTGGCCACCGTGTAGCGCCTAAGCCGATTTTTAGAAAATTGGTGTGTGAGGCTTTTAGCCTTAATCTTCAGTGTTATTATTTTGCTGGTGCATATTCGTCAATCAAAGAAAGGCAGAAATTTGCATCCACACCCTCTTTTTCTTGATATTTTTTTCTTTCTTTTACATTGTATTCTACTTTTTTTTTCTTTGTTTAGCAAACATGTGTGTGTATGCTTTTGTTGCTACTAACAACTAAAGAACCTACGTGATGAGCAGGCATAGCAATTAATAAGCTAACTACGTCTTTATTGTGAATATGGGCATGTTAACTTGTGACCAAGCTCAATCAAGCAAGTAAAATAGATGTGGTGATAGCGTCGAATGCGTTGCTAACTTATGTATTCGAGCGATCACGGCCGAGGAAGGAACACGTGTCGACCTTATGTTCTAGAACCTGGAGGCAAAATTGCTAGATCACTGCAAAGTTCAATAACTGGTTCGACTTTCACTATACCGAACATTGAGTAACCTGATAACACCTCACTTCACCGAGAAGCTAATGAGATGACCTCTTTAGGCAAAAGTGCTAGAAACTTTTCACCAGCTGAGACTTGGATAAAAGTAATGTTGTTACTCCAAACTAAAGATGCTCATAAGTCACTTGATCTTTGACTCTAGTGCTGTTAATCCAAGATGTGTTGATGAAGGGTTGGGGTTAGTATTTTTCTCAAGGATAAGAGAAAGATTCGCGTAGAGCGAGGTTTTATGCTGAACGTTGAGTTGAAGGTCCTTTTCTGATGTAGAGCACCTTGTATTTATAGGAGTGAATTTTGTGCTGACCAAGTTTGCCGAAGTAGAGTCTCAATAGGAATATGACTCTTCAGCACACATTTAGATATTCTTGACATTATCTCATCATACCCTTCTCCTGTTGAAACTCCAACTCTAGCAAGCCTTGGCTTTTGGACTTGAACTAGGACTATGGACTTAGTCATCTTATGTGTTCGATTCACTTATTTTTAGATCAATCACATGTTTTAATTCTTGGAATAATTTGAATCTTATAAAAACCTATCATGATCCTTAGCAATTTCAACTCCAATAGGACTCGACCGAGCCACGCCTAGATCTGATCCTTTAAGAGCCATTCCTCAGCTAGGACTCGGAAGAATTATGTCCTTCTAGGCTGAACCATGGCCTGAGAAATCACCATTGGGCCGGGAACCACAATCTCTCAACCTGAGTTATCTATCCTCAGCTCAAACCTAGTAGTTAGGCCCAAACAATTTTTTTTAGTATAAAATTTTCGTTCTTTCAGAAACCTGACGACCAATAATTTATATTGAATTTGATATTAAAGTTCAAATTAAACATTAAAAGCACATCTATTCTTCAATCTCTCACTATCAAAATTGTGACAACGAAATCAAAATCGTGTTACAAACGGATGAATTTTTGCAAGTTTGGCCATGAATTTACAATGAACTATCTTGTTCAGGCCTCTCTAAAACAGACTTATTTATATTCTTTATTATTAGAGCCATATTCTGATCTAAACTACAAAAAGGTGATTCAAATTTGGGCAAATACGGGTGAAGCACTAACAAGTTCTATCAAGTGAGGATGTTTTTACCCTTGTAACTTCATGCATTCCATGATGTGGCCAGCTTTCGCAGTTTTACCCATTTGTCACCTACTGATCTTCAGAAGTTTTCAGGCCGTCTCCTACTAACTTCTTTACGTTACCTGACTTACCTTCTGCTTACCTTTTGGAAAGAAATAGTTCCTTGCTGGAAGCAATTCCTTAATCCTCCATTTTGACACATGCATACACTTTATAGAATCCTCCATTTTGACATATGCAGACATTTTATAGAATCAAACATTTTATTTGTAACGTGTCAAACTGTGATTGGTATGGCGCGATTGGCATGTGATTGAGAGGGAAGTAAGAATGACTATTTCCAATATTTTCCTTTCGGAGAAATTCCTCTCCTATTTTGTAGAAGACCGTACCTCCATCATCCACACCAGTCACTGGGAGGAGAAAATCCACTCTGTAAAAACAAATCTCATGTATACATCGTCCATAATCTGTATCATATATACATTACTATCTCCATGTTCCAAAGCAAGCTAGAATATCTCATCTGTCGTTCTACGCCATGTACATCAGTGACTAAGCTCCCATTGAAAGAAAGAAAAACATATCATACAAAGAAAACAATAGGAAATGAGATGGAGTTGGAGACAAAGTGGACGAGACTCCTCGCCTCAGTTCCAGCATCTCCATTTTGACGTTGGCACACAGCTTAGGTAATGGCACCAGCCGCAGTGCTTGTTTAAGTTCTCTCCTTTGAACAGAAACACCAATCCTGTAGTTAATCTGCGTTTAACAAGAAAATGAAAATTAATCATCTCAAATGACGCCTTGTGTATGCAAATGTGTAAACTGAAACTCCTCCAATACAAGGAAGTTGAATTGTATGCAAAATTCAAACAATGATTAGACAATCCGGCAACAAGCGTACCCGGCAATCAGTAAGGCAGAGGCAACCACCACAAGAACATATTGGTAACCCTTGTGCTTAGATTTGACACGAGTGTTGGCTGGAAGATTCCGAGACTCTATCCATCCAAACTGGGGACGAAGTAGAAAAATAAAGCCAAGGAGAAACCCGGTCAAGAATCCTCCAATGTGGGCGAAGTTGCCAACATGAGGAAGAATTCCAACTGCTAAGTTAATGGCGATAATGACTATGAGCGTTAATAGAGCCGCAGCCTGGACAAGCAAGAGAAGAGAATTTGTCAATGACACAAAACATTCAAATTTTAGCACGAAGCCATGACACAAATACATGCGTCAAAACCATTAACAGAATACCAACTTCACTTGATAGAAATGAAAATTTGAGGACAAACCTTATTGGTGTATATGCTCCAGTTAGTGATAAGCTCTGATAACATAGCTCCGAGAAGTCCAAACAAAGCGCCAGAAGCTCCAACAGAAATATTATTACTCTGAATGAAAAGGGCAAATAATATGCTTCCACCAAATCCTGACAACAGGTAGATTATCCCCACACGTACTGCCAGATCATTCAAACATATAATTGAGGTCAGAACGAAACAAAAACATCATGAAAAGATGTAAAAAGAAATACATTTGTAAGAAACCAACAAGGCTTAGAATATCTAAACAATTATCAACATAGAAGAGAACATATATATTTGATTTTCTATAATTCACATATTTGACGACGTAGGAAGAGAACTAGCATACCGAATCCAAATTGCTGTTCAAGACGGATGCCAATAAAGATCAAGCTCAGCATGTTTACAAGCAAATGGATGACACCGGCGTGCAACCACATACATGTGAAAAGTCTCCATCCTTGATGCCCATGTACAACCTTGAACCATTCAAGAGCTCCCAATTTTTTCAATCTGCAAAAGCAGGAATTATGACTCAGATAATGCAAATCGAATAGGAAGAAAGAAAAAGTACTTGCCCATCGAGAAACACCAGAAAACCACTTCCATTAAATTATCACAAGCACAAAAGAAACTTATAAATTAAGAAGCAGATAAACTCTCCGGTCCTTTAACTATGACACGACAGGATTAACATTTCCAAACTCTTTACTTCCAATGAGTCAAAATCCAATGTTGGAATCACCCAAAAGGTCATCACTTTTTGACCAGAAAAAGGGGTCATTCTTCCAAGTCCTGAAGGAAATATTGTCCTGACATAACCTTGTTGGATTAATCAGCAACTTTTCGGTTCCAAGCAAACCAAACACAACCAAATAACAAAGAATGAAGAAGTTGAATAGTCCCACCAATGTATGAACCAAATAACTAGGAACATCATAGAATTAGAACCAGTCCCAATTCCCATCAATACGAATTAGAATCAAAATTTAAAAACAACTGCAACAACAAAGAACAAATGAGTATCCACATAGCACGATTTGAACAAATTTAAAAGAAAAAAACTAGGAAATAAAAGAGAAATTTCAGCACCAAGAATTGCTTACTAACATATTGGCAGTCCAGTTTACGAATATATCAACAGATATTTCGATATCAAAGACCTTGAAAAAACAGTAAAATTCTAATAAATCTATACACATCCAACTAAGAAACCGTAAAATTAGCCCAAAAATCCACAGGTGGTATCGTAAACAAATTCCACAAAACCAGAACCCCAAATCAGGTGAAGCAGTAGAATCACAAAACCAACAAATAAAACAAATAAAAATCACGAAATTGAGCGGTGGGTAAAGTCAGAGAGAGCTCACGTCTTAGAAGAGGGACCAAACAGAGGGTTCTCCTTGAGAGGCTGGAACGAAAGCCGACCAAGAAACTTAGCCACGCACTTTCCATCGAAACCAAGATTGTGTTTTGGGCAGTTGTTGATGATCATGGCGACGATGAAGACAACAATATTGGCCACCACAAACATCGGAATCAGCCACGACGTCCATTGGGCTTCGGATGTTCCCACGTAGTACTGGTTGGAGTTATAACTGTAATTGTTGGGTCTGGGTTTTTCTGGTGGTCCTCGTTCCTGATCAGCCATTTCTTCGATTGTTTGATTCTCTCTTTGCCTGTCTCTCTCAAGAAAGTCTGAAACTTTGGGGTGTAGAGTGAGAAAGGCGTGTGGTTTTGGGGTGGGTTAGGAAGTGTAAATATTTGAGAGGAAGAAGGAATTGGGAAGCAGAGATTTTGACAGTGACTTGGACGAGTGGAACACGTGTTGGTATATTGTTATGAAGGGACAGGAATTGGAAGCAGAAGAGAAGGTTGTGGATTACATAGACAAATTGTCTGCCCTCCTGTTACTTGCCTTTCACATTCTTTTTTATTTGTAAGGTCACGGTTAAATCACGTCAATATTTTATATTTTTATTACTTTTTATCTTATTACTTCTATTAAAATATTAATATAAAATGTTAACGTAGCATAACCGTGATCGCATAAATAGAAAGAGATGGAAAGATCACGATAACAGAACGTAAACAATCTGCCTCTGTGGATTTAACAGCTGAAAGAAACAAGAGTAAGAAGAAGTAGCAGGGTGATGTCGGTAAATATCGTTTGAGTTGTCCGTAAATATTAATATTAATATAATAATAATATAATAAGCAGAAAAGGAGGTATACATGAGAAAGTTTTTAACGTGATTGGTACACGAGCACATGTCATTATATAAAAGATAGGATACGTGTGATAAAAAGTTAATAATTTAAAAAATAAAATTTCCCACTACTTATATAAAAACAAATGTACCACCCATGTTTCTGTTACAATAAAAAATTTCTCGGTATACATCGTCATATGATTTTATTAATATTAATATAATTCATGTTTATGATCTTAAAATATGTCCGGATCACATCCACCAAATCCACCTAATTAATGAATCCAGACCCTTGAAATTTGATCCAACAGCTACAAATAGGGGCCTTTAAAAGTTAGAACAACTTTAGTCGTTGGATCAAATTTCAAGGCCCAAATTCATTGATTTGATGGATTTCAAGATCCATTTCCTTAAAATATGACCACTCTAGCACTGCCTCTCTCCTCTCTCTTTTGAGTTGTCTGTCCTTTTCTTTTTTTTTTTTTTTTTTTTTTTTTTTTTTTTGTCAAACATGAGAATTTAATTACATTAAAAACTAGTAACCAAGCCCAAAAAGAATCAGGTAAACAACAATAGATACTTGGCCTTGGTGGGATTCGACATATTGGTTGTGGGAGGGCAAATGAGAGAGGGAAGTGGATCTGATATAACATTTCTGATCGTAGCTCACCGATTCGAGTACATGGTAGGGTGGAGATGGAATATCACGGCTATGGAGGAACGAGGAAGGAAAATTAAAAGATAGAAATCAGTAAAAGCAGGCAAAAAATGCCGAATAAGGGGCATGAAGCCTAAACCTGAGACAAGCTCAAGAGATAGTTGATACCCGACTCAAAGAAAACTGAGTTAAAACTTAGGGGAGAACTGATAATGAAGTGAAGGTGGGATGCCGGGAGGGGGAAGGGATAGAGGAGATGAGAGGGGAAGAAAAAAGGGGGAGGGCAAATGAGAAAGAAGGGAAGGAGAAGGAAAAGGAATGAGTAGCGAGTTGCCGCCTATTCTAAGCAAGAACATGGCTTCTGGATTTAGGTTTTGAAGCTCACAGAGAAAGAAGACATTTTCTTGTACAAAACTAGACTATATTGTCTCGTTTGTTTCATTTTAACCCAGCTATGTTGTATAAGAAAAATTAGTTGAACACATAACTTCCTCTTTCATCACGCAATCAAACCATATTTAACTTAGTAAGAATGATACAATTAAGCTAAATTCATTGAATCTAACAGTTAAGATCTAATATGATCAAATCAAAAGTTCAAATTTAAATCTAACGGCCAAAATAATTATAAAAAAAAAAATCTTCCATGTGTTACATATTATTTCATAATGTTTCACGAGTTTCATGATGTCAGTTTAATGATTTTTCAATATTTATTTAAATTTAAATATTTTTAGGTTAAAATATTCATAAAATTAAAAGGTATACTCGACATAGTTTTTTTTTTTTTGTTAAAGAAAGTTACTTTAAGGAAAAAATTATCCTAAATTCATTCTTTAAAATCTCAAGTTAAAATTTTAACCTAGAATGATTGGAGCATAAAAACTATTTATAGGTTAAAAATTTTAGTTTTTAATCCAAGGGTTGGAGATGGTGAGTGCACAGTTAAATTTTGGAGTGTCAATATAGTTCTAAATTTTAGTTTCCAAACATGTGAAACACCACAGGGTAACCTAGTAATTGGGGACGAATTTCAGATCCGTATTTCATGTAACCCGCCTTGTATTTGATTTCTAATGCTGGTGAATCATACGAAGGTGGCCAAAGAGAGGTTGAAATGCTTACGTGAGTTTTCTCAGCCTCTAAAAGGATAGAATGTTATTTTTACTTCTCACATACCTTTTTAATTTTTTACCGTCAAATTAAATCAATTAAAGAAGATCAATAAAAAATTAATATAAAAATACGAAAAGTAAATATGCGCATGAATACTATTATCCTAATTAAATTGATTCCTCAATGTCATGCCCAATAAATATTTTTGTGTATGGAAAACACGTTTGGTGATGTCCAATCCAAAAAGAAGAGTGGAAGGATAATTCCTCCACGTGTTATCACCAAGATCGCAAAATTGTTCGGACAGATGGCAGTGACAAAGCAATTCTGCAATAGAAAGAATCTGTTATGTCCGAAATGGACAAGGTTTCTATCCGAAATTTTTTTGTGCAGATTCGGATGATCAATCAATCGTATATGTTTATTGTACATCGTATGATTAATTTTTCTTAGATATTGTTTATATTTAATTTTAAATTAAAAATTTAAAATAATTTCTAATCTCACGATATACGAAGAATGGTCACGATTAATTGATCATTTGGATTCCCAAAAATAGGATACGGATAGGATCCTAACAGACAGAAGGAGTTAAAAGGAAAATTAAACTCATTTGGTCCTGAAAATTATTATTATTTTATCCTACAAATTAATTTGATTTGAATAACTTTCTTAAAAAGTAATGAAGTGTTGTAGCCTATTTTATCTGCCAAGGGTAAGGGGCTGGTGGCAAGAAGAAGAGAGATTAAGAGAGATGTGTCTGTAGAATTGTAGGGGAATATGTGTTGTTATCCCTCCTACATAGTGCCTTTATTTATAGTAGTGTAGGAGAGAAGAAATTTCTTAATCCCCAAGGAATACAAGTTGTAATAGAAAAATGATAACTATAATCAAATCTAATATAGGATTTACATAATCACATTTAAACTAGGAAATTTTACAACACTCCCCCTTGAGTGTGTAAATACTCAAGGTAGATTTAGCATCATGCAGAAGTTGAGGAAGTCAACTTGTCGGTACTGATTCTAAGGAACAACGCTTATTCTCAATAAGGTAGGAACTTGCATAAGTAAGTGAGTCTCACTAAAAACCCCTTAAGGCTATGGCAAAAATCCGAGTAGGGACAAAATCCATAGTCTAAGGAAAAATGCGTGAGAAATGCAAAAGTCAAAAGAAACGTGTACGGGACGTCATCAGGGATATGACCAACTCAAGATGGGTGTCTCGTTAAAGTCTAGTTAGGTAGCAAAAACCTAGTGGGAAAAATGCTCCTAATCGTAGGGAAAAAGAGTACATTAAGATTAAGAAAGTATTCTTCAAGATACTCCCTCTAAGTTTGACACAATTCCAAAGAGAAATAGCAATGTTACAATTCAGAAAGTTTACCAATTCCATGAACAAGCTTCTGAAACGTCGTCTTTGGTAGTGATTTGGTGAAGAGGTTAGCCAAATTGTCTTGTGAACAGATTTGCGTGACTTCAATCTTCTAATGCTTTTCTCACGCCAGTCCAGTGTCTGCGTGTAGGTGCATCACTGTATATTGCCAAAAGATTAACAGCGAAGGAGATGTCGGGTCTAATGCATTGAGTTAAATACAATAAAGAGCCTATTGCACTTAGATAAGGAACTTCAGACTCCAAAATCTCTTCATCATCCTCATTCGGACGGAAAGGATCTCGTTTTGCACCTAGCAATTGAACGACCATAGGCATACTCAAAGGCTTCGCTTTATCCTCATCAAAACGGCACAACACCTTCAGGGTGTAATTCGATTGATGTACTAAGATTCCATTCGAATGGTGGTATATCTTGAGACTAAGACAGTATTGAGTCTTTCCTAGATCTTTCATCTCAAATTCCAACTTCAGGTGTGCTACAGTTCTCACGAGCTCTTTAAGAGTTCCGATAAGGTTCATGTCATCGACATATACTGCAACAATCATAAATCCGGAATATGACTTCTTAATGAACACACAAGGGCATAGTTCATTGTTCAAAGATCTTTGACTAGTCAAATACTCACTCATACGATTATACCACATTCTTTTGGATTGTTTCAAACCGTAAAGTGAACGCCTCAGCCAAATTGAGAGCGTGTTCCAAGGTTTGGAAATATTTGAACCAGTTACTACGTCCATCAACTACATACTCAGTTTTTCAGAAACTACCAAACTGATAAGGTAGCGAAATGTAATCATATCCATAATGGGTGAATAACCTTCGTCATAGTCAATCCAGGGACGTTGTAAGAAGCCTTGTGCAACAAGACCAGCTTTGTAACGCACAACTTTGTTCTTCTCATTACGCTTCCGAATGTAAACCCACTTATAGCCAACGAGCTTCACATGTAGATGAGTAGGAGTTACAGGTCTAAACACCTTACGTTTCGCAAGCGAATCAAGTTCGACTTGGATTGCTTATTTCCAGTTTGACCAATCAGTTCTACGTCGACATTCATCAATGAAATGTGGTTCAATGTCACCATTCAACATGATCTCAGTAGCTACTGCAGATGCTAATGCATCATCGACGATCATCTCATTTCTACGCCACACATCATCTAAGCTAGCATAATAAACCAAAATCTCACGATTCTCAGGATGAGGATTCGTCTCTTCAAGGACGCTTCCATAATCTAAAATTTCCTCATGAGTTGGATTCATCTCTTCGGGACCTTGTGCCATGGATTTCCTCTTCTGGGGGTGTGAATCCTTTGAACCAAGAGGTTTGCCATGTTTTTGTGTAGGGGCAAATGATTAGGTAACCGCTAATGT